GTTAGCCGCACTGACAGGGTTGTGGCGTAGCAGTGCGTGTAGCGATTGGCGACTAAAGCGTAGCAGATAGTGTAAAACAGCATTGCTGTGCTACCCGCTGCTACGAACGTAGCCTTCTAATTGCAGAACGTTCGTAGCAGCGGGTTATAACCCATGAAACAAGAGCCCTAGCAGACACTAAAGTCGTAACATTACGTAACATGACATTACACGGGCTGTAATGTGGTCTAACATTACGCAGCACGCGGTACAGCAACTGTGTTTCATAACTTTAGCACTAAAGATTAGGGATTAAAAGATATACCTAAATTAAAATTCTATATTTCCTTTTGTTAGTTCCGCAAAAATACGTAAACCGACCTGTCTACCGTCTACCCGATCTTTGTTCTACAACAAAATGATTTAATGAAAAGCAAATAGGTTGGATCCGATGCAGCGTAATGGGGCTGACCCTCAGATATTTGAATAGGGCCCGTGGCTCTCTAATTGAGCCGCTGCCGCTGTCGACCTCAGATTGTTTGATCTTATAATGTATTGATGTATCACAACTGAGGGCCTGGCAGGGAAGCTGGACACGTACAAATAGTATTGTGCCAATTACTAAAGAACAATTCTGAATTAAGAATACTATTTATTTTTTGTTATTCAGTTTTAGAATAACTATGTATTCGTAATAATTATTCGTCAAGTTCTTGTGACAAAAAAACACTACAATACCAACATCACTCATTCATTTATTGAAAAGTTATGTAGTTTAACTAAGCTATCAATAGTGCATCTATTATCTATTCAAACTAGGAAGTCATTGTAGACAAACTAAAGAGTTACATTACTAGTTTACAAAATCCTACGAAATCCCCGAGATGGTCGCCTTGGGAACTAATAAAGATAGCACTACTAGCTTGTTTCAGCCATTTAAAATGAACAATAAACATAAATAAGCTGTAAGTTGGTCGTCTGTTCGTGTGTTCTGTGTCATCAGGTAATGGAGGAACTTGAGCTGCAACCAACCGACTGCAGCCGGATATAAACTGATTTAGCTTTTAATGTAGGGATGATTTAGATTCACGTTTAACACAGTAGCTGATCGGCTACTGAACTGCCAGTTATGGATTCGAATGCCACACGCAACAATTCTTTGTGCGATCCACAAATGATGTTTATAGATGAAGTGTGATGTCTGGTGTGTGTGGTATAGATGATCCTTAGTTTGGGTTAATTGGGTTACGTTGGAACAAACCATCTCGTTTCTCCATACCATATATAATATTATGTAGATGGCAAGGAAGAGAAACGACAGATACCTATTAGATAGGTGCTTTACATTAAAACAGTCACAGCACTAGTCGTAAAACAACTTGTTAATTAATATCAAGGTGCTTTAAACATTACTTAGTAAGCAGTAAGTAGTTCATTGCTATTAATTTATTAGCGAGTAAACCCGCAGACAAATACTGTCTAGTGTCAGAATATTTAATGGTTAATGAAAATTGAGATATCTCTAAATTCACTGAGAGACACATTTCTCAGAAAGTTTGCAGAATTTTGTGAAAATTCTTAGCTGAATATTTGGGAACGTTGAACTGAGACCTTGAGGCAATATTGTATAAATCAGAATGTACTATAAGAGACATTATTTATGTATTTGATTCAGTCTGCGACTAGACATATAGTTCTCGTGCGTACACATGTTTATTAAACCACTACATACATGAATATTTGTTTTTTGTAATTATATTTGCTTGTGCTATGACTTGAGAAGTATGTAATTTACATCAGAATTCATTTTTGTGTTTAAATTAATTAATTAGTATGTTTTTCAGCGTACAATACTCACAATTATTTGACGAGGAACTCGACTAGTTTCAAGCCATGCTAGAGGCTCATATTCATGAGCAGCATTTCGCGACCTGCGACGCGGCGACTGTCGCACTGCTACTCTATAATAATTAGTATTCATTTTTGTGGTAACACTAGGAAGAGCCAGTCACAAAAATCTTTATTATATCTATGAGCCCAGAAATAGGGTAGGAGCACCCTTAAAATGCATGCTCTGGTTACATACATGATTGTTATAGGGTCTATATCTATCATGTATGTGATTCAAGGAGAACGTAAGGATCGTACCGGATAGCCCTCTGTGGTTTTAGCCTATCATCATAGGACAAAGACGTAAGTTCAAGATCACCAACCAACCAAAATATAAAAATGAATATTTTTATCTGCGTTTTATTTTTAATATCTTTCAAATAATAAGGAAGTTGGAACATAACATGAAACAGTAATAATTTAATGAAAATACTTGCCACATAGAATTCTTACTCCGATACAACTCGGGCTTCAAACTCGCAAAGTAATAGTTTGTCAACTTACAAGTAAGAAAATTAGCGTCACTCGTACTAACTCTTCACATACGTACGAGTGTATGTTCGTACATAATTGTCACTGTACCGAGACTACAGTCGGCAGGCGGCAGTCGGTACAATCGTCCAAGTTGTCTGATCAAGTTTACAGCAGTTATCAGTCCCGCCGCGATGTTACAAATTGTTGCAATCCCACACTTTGCGTAACTTAAATTAAAACTACTACATCTAGCAGCGATTCACTCAAGGATTGTAAATGTCTAAATTCTTAAGTACAAAGATATGACAATTAATCAACGAATTATGTTCACTGAACATTATTCAAGTGCTGATTGCAATGTCAATTTTTAGTGTCAGTAATTTAACATCACGGTATACGTGAATGAGTATTAATTAATCCACGTCGTATTAATTTGTGTGACTTAGTCAGAACTACATACTTGCTAAGTTGATTAATCTCATTCTGTAGTAAACCATAATAAAATTGAGTTCTAAATTATAGTAAGATTAAGAGCCACGTTTACTAAAGTTATTTCTTTATATAAAAGTATGGAAACCGCGGAGTGCGCACAATAAGAGCTATTTAACGGCGCAATAAACGGAGCAATCGCACAGCATTCATATATAAAGCATAATTAAGCGCAAGTCGGTACCCTTGCGACGAGCGGGCCGCGCTAATCCTGGTAATAAAGAAAAATACCCGGGAAGCGGCGGCTAATTGTTATAAACTGGGCAAACATGCAAATTGGACGAGGAAAGGACTTCCTCGGCGTTTTAATTCAAAAGTTATCTCGTTGGACGGGCTCCACACCGGCGCTCGGGGCGGCCCCCGCGCTCCGGCCGGCTCTAAGGCCCGCCCGACAAGTTCCAACGGAAAAAGCGCTTTTTTTAAGCAAGGAATCAATTTAGCGTTCGCTGCGTGAATTTGTTTTGATTGATTAAACAACAATTTAGTTAAGAGCGAGCTCAGTTGGCTCGGTATTGATGATACTGTAAACTTTGCGCTCGGATTCTTTGGAAGTAATTGTTTGAAGAATTTTGGGTTACATCGGTCTGCAGCCCTCCATTTAATAGAAGTACTCGTGGGTACAAGCTTCGATAAAGTCAAGAACATTAAATATATTAAAAACTAGTGAATTGAATCAGACATTATTGGATACTTAACAAACGATAAAGAGTCTGATCTTATATTATATTATTTCTAAAGCACAAACATAAGGTTTTTTTCTAAATACTCTAATTAGACAGAAGGCGTCGTAATTCTGAATGATATTCCAGCTCCAGTATAAAGCGGCCTTAACAGACGGAGAGCGCGCGGGCAGAGGGCAGCTCTGTATTATATGACTATTTATTTTTAATGCACTTACTATTATTGTTCGCGACTTCTCATTCGTTAAAAACCTATTTTCATTTCAAGTTTAGCCAAGAGATGGCTTCTTTGAAATCTGTCTCGAAAGTTTCTACAAAATTGTTTTATGCAAAGTAAGTAATTGTGCCCGTCTCACTTTACGAAGTGGCGTGAAGATAAGCAGTTAGCAGTGGTGCCACTTGTTTTTAATGTATTTAAACTATTTTGTACTGAAACTTAAAACGTATAGGGACTAGGTATTAAAACCTTCTAAATAAATACATACATACATACATCCATACATAGTTTCACGCCTGTGTCCCATGGGGGTAGGCAGAGACTGTGGAACGCCAGTTACTACGATTCCTATATACCTCTTTCGCTTCATCAACAGTCATCAATCTTTTCATGCATGCTCGTCGGTTAAGGGTACTTTTAATTTGGCCTTTCTTTAATATATCGCCAATCCGGTCACTATATGTCCGTCTAAGGCGCCCTCTACCGACGGTCCTTCGACGACGTCCTCGACGGACCTTCTAAATGTTCAAGTTATTACATTATTCCGTCGCTTGTAACTTTTTCAAACTTAGATAATAATTATTATTAGTACAACGGAAGCATTGCGCTAATAAAATAACTAGTGGCAGAACGGAGACAGTCACGCTACTTTGACATCACCTACAGGGTTATACAAACGTAACCTGAGAGTTACCACGAAGAATCACTAAATGCTATCAAACAATATTAACGAACACGTTGTAGTCCATGACACAATAAGGTACACAGAAATCACATCGTTTCTCGCAATAAAATAAAAACAAGCGACACTTGCGGAGGAATGTTCAGCAAATAATGTTGTATCTAACGTTGCGGACTATTTGCAAACATAGAGGAGTTGCGCAAACGCATTGGGCCACCGTCTGATCTCGCGGCCCGTGTACTTTCCCTAACAGTGTGCTGTAGACCGGCGCACACGCTGCACAGCTCCCACGAACTTGACAAGTCAGCCCTGAACTTGCTGCACTGGTAACTGAGCACATCGCGAGACGCTGGACTAGTTTCACTGTTAGTAGTGTAAATATTATCTGTAAACTGCGTAAAACATTTATTTTATTGGCAGACCTAATACAGTGATATTTAAATCAATGTTTAAAGTTTAAACTAAAGTTTAAGATGCATTGAGTCGTCTTGTCCGTTCCTTAGACAAACTTTGTGAATACGCGAGGTTACAGTTTACGAGACAATATTAGTGACAATATGAAAACTACAACTTTGTTTAGTGAGTAAATATGAGTGGGAGAGTCGTGCTAGTGTACATACTGATCTGGCGGTGTCTGCAACCGGTCGGGGGGTTTTTCCTCACTCCAGTCGTGGAAGTCAGTCAGGGGAAGTTGAGGGGGCTCAGGAGCTTCTCCGGACAATACCGGTACCACGGGATACCGTACGCCATCAGCGATAGATTCCAAGTGAGTACAGGACTTGTAATATCACTGCGTCAGTAATCTGCATAGCGTATGAGTCTCATGCAGATATTAATGCTCCACGACATAATATTAGATTAAAATTCTCGAGTTATTTCCGAGTAACGTGGACGAGGACGAGATTGTACGCGACTGTAATATGTGCTAGTGTATGTAAATGTATAGTCTAAAGTAAATATCTTGTGTATTAACTTTGTTAGAACCACTTATGTTTTCTAAAACTTGCCCTATTAATATTATCAGTCACACTTGCAACCACTCGGCCAACGAGGCAGCATTAATATTATGTCTAAGTAATAATAAAACAATAACAGCCTTATACACAAGTAACTGTTAATTTAATTACTTCAACTATTATAGATTTATTAATGTTCATCGGACAACTAAATCCATTTTCAGCCACCACAGTCACCTCAAAAATGGAGCGGCATCTTCCATGCGGTGTCTCGGTTCGATTCTTGCGCTCAAACCTTCGCTGTGTTTAGAGTGGGAAAAGAGGAGTGCCAGTTCCTCGACGTGTACACCCCGGGGCAGGAGGCGCGTGGACACGGTCTGCCCGTGCTCGTGTTCCTGCACGGAGGTGCGTACTACATGGGCAGCAAGTGGCATTATGACCCAGAGTACCTAGTCAACAAGAACGTCATCGTCGTAACAGTCAACTATAGATTAGGAGTACTAGGCTTCCTGTGCCTGAATAACGTCGCCAACTTAGGACTTAAAGACCAACTCGCGGCTTTGAAGTGGATACGAAGAAATATATCTGCTTTCGGTGGAGACCCGGACAACGTGACTATATCAGGTCACAGCGCAGGATCCACCTCCGCAGCGATGCACTTACTGTCGAGACGTAGCAGGGGACTGTTCCACAAAGCGATCCTAATGAGTGGAGTAGCTCTAGCACCGTGGTCGTTTAATCCCGAACCACTTACTCCGGCGTTTGAAGATGCAGCCAAGATGGGAACAGTGCGCAATGAACGTGAAGTTTATAATACTTTTTTAAAATCATCTCTAACTGATGTCCTGCACGCCACGCAGGGGACTTCCATAGACCCTCGGTACTTCAAGTACGCGCCGTGTGTTGACACCAACTTCACCGACGCTTTCTTCCACGACACGCCATACAATATTATAAGTTCGGGGGAATTCAACAAAGTTCCCGTCATCATCGGCGTCACAGACACAGAGGGCGTCTTGTTTTACGGGTTCCATAACCAAAGAACATTAGAATATTTAGATAATAACTTCATTAATAGGCTGCCGTCGGTATTTTCTTGGTGCTCGGACGAAGATAAAAGAAAAATAGCCAAGGAAATTCGTTCGCATTACTTTGGAAAACAAAGGATCAATAGCAGAGAAGCGATCAAAGGCACCGTGGACTATTATTCGGATTGGATAACGAACGCGGCCGTACACGCCTTCTCCAAGCTGATAGCGAAGTATTCTGACGCGCCAGTGTACAACTACATGTTCTCGTACAGAGGAGGCCGTAACTTCGGCAGCGTGGTGTACGGCCGCGGCCTCAGCCTGGAAGGGGCCACACACAGTGATGACATCTTCTACATATTCAAGCCTGCTGGGTTCCCTCTACGGATCCGGCAGTCCGACATGTTCATCATCGACAGACAAACCACCATGCTGACCAACTTTATGAAGTTCGGGTGAGTGTCAAGTAAACTGTACCATAAACATCGCATCCATACGGCCTGTACGGCCATAATTCATCATCAGCAACAGCCTATAAATGCCCACTGCTGAACAAAGCCTCTTCTCACACGGAGAAGGTTAGAGCAATTAATCACCATGCTTGCTCAATGCGGGTTGGTGATTCAACACTTATAATTAGAAATTATAAGCCCAGGTTTCCTCACGATGTTTTCCTTCACCGTTTGTCAGTGGTGTCTAAATATTCTTAGAAAGTACATATAACTTTGAAAAAGTCACATTGATACTTGCCTTTGGTAGGTTTCGAACCCGCACCCTCATGCATGAGAAGCGGGCGTCTTAAACCTCCGAGCCACCACGACATTGTAATATGACAGCCATAATTATGTAATCGCAAAGTAACGCGAGGTTGCCCAATATTATATGCATTTTTCTCAACAATTACATCTTTAGAACAAGAATATTTAACTTTAAGGGCATTTTAAAGGCAATCTGAGATGTAATTATATGTCACTTTCTACACATCATTTAAGTGCAGATACTGCAGATGATGCAAATACAACAAGTAATGGTCAGGTTACAACACCACTACATACAAACATTAACAAGTGCGGACATTATCATCGAGTATACATGTAACTCCCCGTCATTACAGAACGCACAAGTACTACAGCCATGGTAGGTACTTTATGGTTAGCATCGTAAATATAAACATTACTGCGAAGTTGGGTAAACAAAAATAGCCGATGACTATACGCATTTCGTTCATAACGAGTAGTCTCGGGTTCGACTCCAGGGCGGGCCAAGTTTACCTAATTTACATTGCTAATTTGACATGCAATGTTTGTATTTTCGAAAGTTAAGACATACAAATACATACAAAAAAAAAAAAAAAAAAAAAAAAAAAAAAAAAACATTATCAATAGACCAGAGATCCAACCCCGCATACAAGCGCTCTGCTGCCTATCCGCTGGCCACGGAGCACGGCGAACAGGTCGGTAGTGATGCACATGGACCAGCAGCTGTACGTGGCGGACGCGGCCGAGGGCTCCCAGGGTCTGTTCCTGCTGCACATGCTGTGTCAGTACGGACTGCGAGGCTACGTGCCCTGTGAGAGTGCCATGAAATGTAAACCCTGTCACAAAGTTACCAACAAAGGACAGTGATCTAGTCAAAGCAATGTATTCATGTGATGTTTTAATATTGTACTTTAATGATACTTAATTTAATATAATCTTAGATATTGCCGTAGATACACAGAAATATTTAATGATAACTTGAGCTATGCTTTAGTAAAGATTTTGGTTCGAAAACAGGGGACAATATAACATAGGGACTGCGTTAAGTAACCATTAAATGGCTCTGAGTAGCCTGAGTACGGTAGTTTTTTAATTTTTTTTCGTCTTTAGGTATCCGTCGTGTTCTTTTAATAAAACGGGATTTTCTCTTGTGTCGTGGGTGCGTTTACAAACATACAAGTTCACATACACATGACACCCAGACCCGAAACAACAATTTGGGATTACACAAAGATTTGTTCCGTGCGGGAATCGAACCCGCGATAAGTTGCGCGGCAGCCTTTAGTTTGTAGTCTAAATAATAAATATAGTTAGCCATCTCATCATCATCATTAACTCGAATCAAACTTTGTATTTTATTATAAAACTACTCTTAAAAATACATTTATGTAGGTCAGTATATGCTTGAGAGGTAATATGTAGTTTATTCGCGGAAATTGCACAATATCTTGGGAACATAAGCACGCTTCATAGAACATCGTGACCGACTCCTGGCACTGTCCTGTGCGCACTGATCTGTTATTGCGATATAAATTCTAAATTCTTTGAAGATTGTGGACAAACGCAAGCATTTATATAAAATATTCCACTCCATGCGTTTCCTGGAGAACGTACGGTAAACAATGGTTGATGTTAGCCGAAGGGTCCTCACACGAAATGAAATAAACTATAAATCTGCAAATACGCTCGAGGGGCGGCGCAAACAGTCCGAGCACGATTTATAAATATGCAGATCAAATATTAAAAGGAGAGCCACAAGATCATCCCGGAACCGCATAGAAGTGGACTCGCAGACAGGACACGACGCATTGTTTATAAAAATAACGAAATTCTTTTGTAACTTGCCAGACAGTTATTACTTGTTTTCATTATACAAGACTATATTGTCGTTGACCATTTTGTTGCGTATCTGTTCACATTAATCGTTGCATAATTAGAAAAAGAGTGGAAACCGAGCAAGGTTTTATTGACTGTCTGGTACCTAGTAATAAGTGGTACCTAATGTTCAACACAACCAAACATCATGCAAATACAATTGCTCGACTCTGATTGGTAGTTACAATTTTACAAAAAGTTTTAAACAAAAACCTATCAGCAAGCAGTGAGCTCTGAGTAGGCACATAACAGCTAAGTAAATCAAGAAGTGTCTCCTCTGTTCGCCCGCCTCGTACTTGTGGACAGCCCGCAGCGGTGCACTGGCATCGTCTCAGAATAAATATTCAATGTTTTCATTCAATTTCTCGCGACCCCCCCCCCTCCCCTTGGGGGGTGACTCCCTGTCCGCGCTGGACCTCAGCTCCCGAAGCTGTTGGAACAGAGATAACGTGATATTCCATGAATTGACTAGGTACCACACTCGCGTTACTTGTGTTGCGACCTTTATTTATTTATTTGTTTCCGTTTTTAGACGCAACGATTCGTAGTTTAATAATTTATCTACAAATTAATCTACAAAAAAAGGTCCCTACAGTTCAGTAGCTGCTAATATGAATAAGAAAAGAATGCTTTCAGGTCTCATATTACTTCAATACATAGTATAAAACAAAGTCGCTTTCGCTGTATGTCCGTATGTATGCTTAGATCTTTAAAACTACGCAACGGATTTTGATGCGGTTTTTTTTAATAGATAGAGTGATTCTTAAGGAAGGTTTGTATGTATAATACATTCATATTGCACCCGTACGAAGCCGGGGCGGGTCGCTAGTAAATCTATAAATAAGAAACCGAATAAAAGAATCACATAAAGTTTCAATAACCATTATTTCTTACTCTAAGTGTTTCCATGGTGGTGCACATATACCTACTTGGTAGGTACTTACTGCACATAGTTATATTGTTAACAACTATATCATCATCAACAGCCTATAAATACCCACTGCTGAGCAAAGCCTCTTCTCACATGGAGAAGGTTAAAGCATTAATCACCACGCTTGCTCAATGCGGGTTTTCGATTACAAACTTATAATTAGAAACTATAAGCCCAGGTTTCCTCACGATGTTTTCCTTCACCGTGTGTCAGTGGTGTCTAGATAATTTAGAAAGTACATATAACTTGGAAAATATCACATTGGTTTTTTTTTATACGACGACGATGGCAAAAAAGCACACGGCCCACCTGATGGTAAGCGGTTACCGTGGCCTATGCCTGCAACACTTGGGGCATTACATGCGTCTTGTCCACCCTTAAGAAACCTATTCAGTGCCCTCTTGAAGAACCTCATGTTGTAGCCCACTGGGAAAACCACGGCGTTCATTCCACAATCGGTGGGTCCGTGGGAGAAAATTCCTCTGAAACCGAACTGTACGGGACCATTTTGGCTCCAATGAGTGAGCGTGATCTGTCGATGGCGAGCGGTTCAAAGTCAAAGTCACAGCATTTATTTCAATTAAACCATAGTTTGGTACTTTTGAAACGTCAACAAATACAAAATAAATAATAGTCTGTCAGTCAGTCCGTCAGTGAAACTAGGTGAAGCTAGGTGCGATGCGATGATAAAAAGTGGCCGTGGGCATCACATCAAATAATTCCGCAGAACATAACCCATTATACAAGCGGTAGAACACGCACGTGGAGGCAAAATCTCTCCTTAGACTTAAGTGCTCGACACCGCCCGTAAGTATAGGATCGTCAACAAGTCGTACAGCTCTCCTTTGGACCGCGTCAAAAGATCCAAGCTGGTATGCTGGCGCTCCTGCGCAGAGATGAGAGCAGTACTCCATATGGGGGCGAACTTGCTATTTATATAAAAGCAGTCTTTGTCCCGGCGCGGCGTGAAGTACCGCTTCCCTCTGTTTAGCACACCGAGTTTTTTAGATGCCAGCTTGGCCTTATCTTCTAAGTGACTACGGAACTGGACGTCTCTAGATATGTCGACACCAAAGATACCTATACTTTTGGAGATGTTAAGGGTAGTGTCTTGGAATTTATGATGAATGGGGTTTTTTTAGCGGTAAACGTAGATACAAACTTGTGTCTTGGAGGGGTTGAACCGGACCATAATATGGTCCCGACCCCAATCGGAGACTCGGCATACGGTACTCTCGATTTGAGACACAAGTTTTACGCGGCTTTCTTCCACAACGGAACGAGGGATGTTTGCACGGCCCGTGTAAGATGCGTCTCCGGTGCTATCATCAGCATAGCAATGAATACACTCAACAGACAGCAAATCATTGATATTGCCTTGCGGGACACCAGCGTTTATGTCCATGCTTTCAGAGCAACTACCGTCTACGACGGCTCTTATGCATCGGCCGGACAAAAGCTAGCAACCCATTTGCACAATCCCTCGGGCAGTCCGTATAATGGCAACTTCGTCAGAAGACTTCGGTGCCAGACCCTATCGAACGCTTTCGCTATATCTAAGTACTTGCCGTTGGTAGGTTTCTGACTCGCACCCTCTTGCATGAGAAGCAGGCGTCTTCAACCTCCGGGCCACCACGACACATATACGGATAAGGATAGTACGAGGAATATTCCAGTGTGACAGCCTGAGCTCACAATTTTTTTTTTTTTTTTATGGAATAGGAGGCAAACGAGCAGACGGATCACCTGATGGTAAGCGATCAGCGCCGCCCATGGACACCCGCAACACCAGAAGAGTCACAGGTGCGTTGCCGGCCCTTTAAAAAGGAGTACGCTCTTCTCTTGAAGGTTTGATTCACTATGGTTTGTTTGGTTCACTATGGTTCTGCTTGGCGTTGAATCCTCTAAGTACTCTACTGGAGGATTCAGGGCTACGCTATTCTTTGCGGAGAAGGGGTTTAGTTATATCCCACTTACTTTACTTGGATGACCTCAAGTTGTTTGCGCCAAACAAGAAACAACTGATGGAACTACTGAATATAACTGAAAAATTTAGTAGTTCCATCAGAATGGAGTTTGGAGTAGACAAGTGTGCGGTCATGCATGTAAAGCGAGGAGGGATTGTGGAATCTCAGGGCCTAGAACTCTCAGATTTCGTTAAAGGCCCGCACTTTGTTTTTGACAGAAACAAAGTGCGGGCCTTTAACGGTTGGGTCATCCCAGTCCTAATGTATTCTTTTGGTATACTCAAGTGGACTCAGACTGAACTTGACACCCTGGATAGGCGCGTCCGGACACTGCTGACTGCAAATCGCATGCATCACCCTCGTTCGACGAAGTTATCTTGGAACATTGTCAAAATGAAAATCTGTTTGCTAGAAGCTGATGATCCAATGCATGCATAGTGGAACTACGCAGCTAGACAGCCTTGTGATCAAACTCCAATGATAAGTTCTGAATTTGAGACACATTATGTAACGAGGAAACAATTCTTAGCTCAACGCAATCATTTCCAAATGTTGACTTTCATACCTATACAATGGACCTGCTATCTAGCTATCTAGTTACCAGTATTACGACAGAAGTAATCGACTTGTGATTGCTTCAGAGATGATTAAGTACTTACTTTATGTAAGCCACTTTTGATCGATCATCGGAACTAAACAGTAACAGCAAGATGAAACTACGCAAGTAATGATTATGTAATCATTACTTTGTCACTAACTACATAGCAAAGTTGGTTTATTTTTATTGTTTTGCAGGAATTATTTTAAAAGCTTACCAAAAAACGACAAATTTGATTGAAATGTACGACTTACTCGCGTGATTTGTTCGAAAAAAGCTCGATTACTCTCAAGCCCTGCTGGGACTCACATTCAGGAACGGTGCGCTGCAAATAACGTCACTCAGCCAACTGTCTACTAGTCCAGCTTCAGCTTTGTTTCGAGCGGTTCCAGTGTATAAGCAGTTTATCAGCACTTAATATTTCTACAAGTTGACTGACTCATTATTAATCTATGATCGACTGTATTAAGTAATTAATTACACAAAGAAATGTATGTACGGGAGTCTCGTGAATGAATCCATGATACGTCGTATAGTAGTTACCTAGTTGTCATTATCTTATGACTCAGCTCTGCGACTCTCTGGGCTCTAGGTGTGTGAATTTTTTTATTACTGGTTCGCAGAATAAAAGTTGTTAGTCCTCGT